CACTGGGGGGGTGCTGTCCTGATGCAGCTCGACCCCCTCGGCTGTGGTGGCATACAGCCTGGCCGTTGTCGACGGCACCCTCATCCACAAGGCGTCTCCCACAGGGAGCGGTGTCGACGTCTCTTTTGGGAGGAGTCGCAGGGCCCCCCAAGCGCATGTCCAGGACTTCCGTGGGGGTTGCATGTCCTGGCACAGGCAGTCTGATTCTGATAACCTGCAGCTGCCCGGCACTCCACGTCGAGGCGGTAGAGCCATTCCGGAGGCGGCAGAGAGGCCTCTGCCGGGCTCTCGGCCTCCGCCGCCAGAAGGGAGTCGGCATCATCCCCTGCCGGGGGATGACTGGTGGATCCGGCCGCCTCCCCATCTGTGTCCATTCTAACCAGGCTGCTCAGGTGGCGGGGATCCTTCCTTGCGGGGAGGGGTGCTGGCGGAGCTGGGTGCTCCGGCGGTTGCTGCGAGGCGTCTTCCCTCCGTAGAGGGGGAGTGGGAGGGGAAGGTGGCACCTCTGCAGCCGGGTTGGTCCCGGTCGTGCCGGCAGTTGCCGTGTCGGCAGGGAGGTGAGGGGTGCTGTACCGCCCTCGTGCCGGTTTTTGTCCCGTCTCGTCCGGGGGAAGTTGGCTCCTTGTCCGGCGTGCCCATGGCATCATCTGCCTGCTCCTCCTCCAACTCCAGCCTCCATCTTGAGGCGGTTGCGCCTCGGCGGAGATCCGCGCCTCCGTGGGCTTCCTGCACCCCGGCCCCCAGCCTCTGGTAGCCGAACCCGGCCAAGGCAGGCTAAGGGGCAGGACCGAAGGGTCCTTCGGAGCTCTGACTTCAGACAGGCCCAGCAATCTCGCCGCCAAGGCTGGAATGTCATGCCTCAAACCCTGCCCGCTTTGCAACGGTTGCTGCCTGGAAATCAGCGACTACCTCACGGGATGTTTGCATTGCTCAGCCCTCTTTCCAACGGAAAGGTTCTCTCAACCCCTCCCTCACCGTCGAGGGAGGGAATACAACCACTGAGGTCTCCGAGCGGCCCTCTACCCAGCCGCAAACGGGGCAGTGCTCCCCCGGGGGACTCGACGCCTCAGAGGACCTAAGGTCCCAAACCAAAACCAGGGTTGGTTGGGGAGGGCCCCGAAAACGGCGCCCAGCAGCCTCAGCAAAGCCCTCACCGCTACAGCCCATTGCAGAGCGCACTGCGGCGGAGAGCCTCGATCGTGGCTTTCGGCGAAGCGGTGGAGACGGAACCTGAAGGCAGTCTCGCATACCGCCTCGGGTGGGACCTCCTCGAGGGCCTTCAAGGGTCTGCCGCTCAGGGAGCCATTTCCCCTGCCGACCCCATCCACATCACAAGCGCCAATGTGACCACCTGGAAGAAGGAACTGCTCACTTGGCACCCGGCCACAAAGGGAATCCTAGCACTGCAGGAGTTGCACCTCAACGCCGAGGGCCTCAATCAGCTCCGCATCGAGGCTTCCAAGTGCGGTTTCCACCTTTTCACACCGCCAAAGAGGATTCGGATGCTGAAGGATCCAAATGGTGTCCAAGTAGCCGGTGGTCATCCAGACTCATCGCGTCATTTTTGGCTGCCCAGCTGAGAATCGTGCACTTGAGGGACGGACAGCTGATCCGATCCAAATCTGAGATCCCAGACCGCAGCAAGAACTCTTTGAGATAAAGGCCAGCCTCCCCTGTGCTCATAGGCCTGTCAGGGAAAAACCCTTCAGACTCTGACCAGGCCGGAATCGCCGGGTCCAATCCCAATCCAAATTTCGCTCGAGCTTCTAACCAAGCTCCAGCCCACTCCACCTGGTAGAAGAACTGGCCAAACGAACACAACGGTAAGAACTCATCCTTTTTGGCCGACAACATCGTCTTCCAGAGACCTAAGCCTCACGGTGTTTCCGAAGCGGGCGCTCGAACCTAGCACCAAAAGAAGGTGCCCTGCCATAACCTTCCAGTGCTCATACGGGGCAAGCAACACCACTTGCTCAAGAGCCTTGACCATCTTCTCTGTGAGCGGGTGGGCTTGCCTCAGAGGAGCTTTTAGCTGAAGCATTCCCGACGACACGCCCCTTGAGTCTGGCCGACGGGTTCAAATAGGCTGACGGGTCAGTAAGCCCCACCATAGCATGAATAAAGTTCCAAGTTGGAGGAAGCTGGAGCCCAGCGTCGGCCTAGCTGTGTGTTCAAGGTGAAGCTTGTACCTGTGTATGATGGACTCAGAAGCTCTCAGCGGACTGGGGATGGAGTTCGACTCGGACTCCAAAGGGCCGAAGCCCTCTTCACAAGCGTTCCTGTAGCCTTTGCCGCAAAAGTATGAGAAAACGATTTCCTCAGGTTGTCCTCGTTCTTTACAGAGGGCGCGCCAGACACCAGAGGACGCAACTTTCTGAGAGCCTCCCATCTCGCCTCATCGGGCGTCCGGATCAAGGTCGACAGCCAAACCTTCTTCTTTGCGAACTCCCTCGTCTGGGTCTTCAGGGACTGCGCGACGCCTGCGACCCGCGGTGGCGATGGAACCTGAAGCCGCTGCCTCTTCGGGGCCCGCTGCCAGGAGTAAGTAAGCACAGCTGGAAGCTCCCTAGACAAACCATCCATCTTCCTGGCAGCATCCGGGGGCACAACATCGGGGCCGATATGACCCCCTCCAGTTCCCAGTGCCTGGGGCTCCTGCGATGCACCCCTTAAGACTCTGTCTGCGACCTCCCAAGGATGTCTTGGGGCTCCCTGAAGACACGGAGCCATTTACTCGGACCCATTCCCTGGGACGTGAATCCTCATCCGAGCCCACAGTTCTCACCCCTGCTCAAAGATCCAAAGTCAGATGTTCAGAGAAATCTGGAGAAGACATGTTGATCACAACGGCTCCCCCTCAGGCTGCAGATCACACAAGGTGCTCAGAAGCCGCCGGCAACGATGCACAAAACATTCGAGGCAACCCAGGCGGATCACGTGCTGGCTCTCAGTCAGGCCAACTCGAGCAAGTTCTCTCTGCAGCCAACAAACGAGGCTCAAGACGGCCAACCTGAGCCTGGAGCTCGTGCAAGTGAGCGCTGAGAGCCTCGAAATCAGACGTTGCGTCCTGCACGTCCATCCGCTTCTCCACTCAGGGAGAAGATTGCACGAGGCCTAGGAGGGTCAAGGCACTGGAGATGCAAAGGTGCACTTCGTGGGCGCTAGATGCCAACGCAAGCCACTCACGTTCCGAGTTCCGAGAGCAGCGAGAGCACATTGTTGCAGAAATACGTGGACCCGAAGAACACTGCAAACAGGGACACGCCTTGCCTATGCAGAATGAGAAGCTGGAGTGGCGTGCACTTCCAAAGCTGGAGTATGAAAGAACCAGCGGCAAAGGCTCGGGCAAAATGTCGCTATGGACCTCTGACGAACCTGAGGAGCTCGAAGAGCTCATGCGCGGCGCAAGCCCATCTGCCGGCTAAATAGCACGGTCTGCACAGCCTCTTTCAGAGACTGAGTAGGACTAACAAAGTTGCCAAGCAAAGTTGCCATAGGCACATGTAAGCACAACTAAGAATGTCAAGCAATTGCCAAAGTCACTTCAATTTTTTGCCACTGCATGTTCAAGCACTCAAAGCAGCGAACGACATGGAATAGATGACCCTTCAGGCAAGACTTTTCAGGCTGCACCTTGCAAAAGGAAGACGGCTTCTGTAACATGGAAAAATGTTTTGCCGCATTTTCGAATCACCCACAAACTCGTTTGTTGGCCGGCTTTAATGCACTATCAAACCGTTTGACCGTTCGCATATAGTTTTGCATGGTCGTCTTCCATTTCTGGGCTGGCAACTGACGGAGTTGGAATTGTTCAAAACCGAGGAGTATGGGAGCGGCAGGCCTGGCCACTGCTGCTCCAACACCTCGGCAGGCCTGGCCACTGCTGCTCCAACACCTCCGACAAAACAAGCCAAGTCCAGCCTGAAACCAAGGCTTCCTGGACCGGGTGGCGCGGTTGCATGCAGCTGTCCGAGCTCTGTTCAATCCGGCCAAACATCAAGCTTGTCAAGAAGCATGTTGTGTGGTTGGAGCCAAACGTCATGAACAGCTCCTTGCCTTGTGGACTGGCCACGCATGAAGAAAACTGTGTAGCCAGCTTTCGATTGGCCTCAACTTGTCCCTCCCTGACTGTGGGGTTGGAAGTGAGACCGAATGCCACAGCAGAGCACTCAAGAATGTCCTTGCGAGGACCCTGGGAAAGCACCCTTTCTCCTTTCGAGATCATGTCGTGACCGTTCAACATGGACCCGCCACGGTTCATAGTGAACCAAGAATCGGTTAAGCGGGGGCTACATCGCCACGGGGGTGGTCAACCCTATGGTTGGGTTCAACGAAAACGACTGCGCAGTCAGGAAAAATATAGCTATTTTGTCGGTTTAAAATTTTGCGAAAAAATCAACGAAATCACCATGGTTTTGGAGCCATTCGCCTTAAAAATTCGAAGGGTTCTATGGAAAAGAGTGGTTTCCAAGCTGTCACGAACTGTTTTGGAACGGCACACCCATGAAAGCTGGTTTTTCTTCGTCGTCGATCGTTTCTTGCCGGTTGAAGTGATTTAGGGGGTTTTGGCATTGCCTCTATGACCTGATTTCGCTGACCTTTGAAAACTAAGCAGATGCAATGCAGGTGTTTTTTTTGGAGGCGGCATCGCTTGCCGACGCTTCTACATGCTGACCTTACGGATGCTAGGTTACACAGAGTGGTCTAAGGGCTTAAAATGGGATACATTTGAGATACGATGTAGAGTAAACTTATTTTCTGGGGTTTCACAACAAAGCAGATGCAATGGAAGCGACTTTTTTGCGACGGCCACCCCATTGCCGGTTCCGGTAAATGCTAACCTTAAAGATGCTAGATTGGCAAACAGAACCCTGAACACGAAGTGAGACACCCACGACTTTTTCACGAGACAACTTCTGGATGCGCCGGAACCTTTAGCAGTATACTCCTGGAGTGCTTGCTGGGTTTTCCGATGCGATCCATGGAGGATTGCCTTCGGATTAGAAGTAGCGGGCATTCTTTCGGGACAACCCCTCACTAATCGCCTTCCTCTTTGTGTTGTGCTTTGGAGCTGGGGTTTTCGGGTCCCAAGAGCGATACTCCACCTGCTGTTCCATGCAGTTGTACACCATGCACTCGATCTCGCACGAATGCGAGGACCCGGCTTGAAAGTCCAAGAGGATCAGTGCCACTCCCTTTGCATCGTTTTCGATGAAAGTATGGAGCGACACTGGGCCTTGCTCAAAACGTTCCTCTAAGCAGGATTGGACCGGGTCGTCCTTCTCCAACTCGGTGAAAATCCCCAGTTCTTTATTCCACCGGTCTTTCAGCTCAGCAAGCCTGGTGATGCTTCCATGCACCAAGCACCTAGTGTACTCTGCCACAGTAGGGCTCCACGACCGCTCTTCTGCAGTTGGCGACTCCTGCTTCACGGGTGATGCCTTTGCATCGCACCGCTCATCCTCTCTCTCACTCTCTGTCTCGGAAATCGGCTCGAGTCTCTGTGCATCGCTCTGGGTGCAATCGACCTTCTCAGGTCAACAGCTGCATGGAGAGAACATGCAGAGAACATGCACAAACGCTTATAGCAACAATCCTACCGTTTCACATTGCCACGGAAGCCGTTCAGGCCAACAGCTGCATGGAGAGAACATGGAGAGAACATGAACACACGCTTACAGCAACAATCCTACCGCTTCGCACACAAGCACTCTTTCTCTCGCAATCCGGTAGCTGCGGAAGGTCGCAATTGCGATAGCGAGAAGCAAACCTTGGGATGAACATTCGGGCTCGAAGAAAAAGCATTGCAGGTCACCCTGGACAAAGATCAAACGTCGCGCACGCACGCACACGCACACACACACACACACACACACACACACACACACACACACACACACACACACCCACACACACACCCACACACACGCACACACACACACACACGCACACACACACACACACGCACACACACACACACACACACACACACACACCCACGCGCACACACACACACACACACACACGCACACACACACACACACACACCCACACGCACACCCCCCCACACACACACACCCACACACACACACACACACACACACACACACACACACCTTGGTGTGTGCATGGCAAGCCTGGTCTCTCCCTCCCGCTCAGCAACGCCTCGCTGGAGCCACGTCTCTTCCATCGCTCCGGAAAACCCCATCCAGAAAAAGAAAAATCTTTCACACCGAGTTCGCCCAGGCCAGCAGCTTTCCGGTACGATGCTCCTGCAACTCCGGCCACTGCTCGATCCTGGCCTGCAGGATCTCTTTGCTGGCTTTGAGACCACGGCGGGAGCCCTTCAGGATCCTGACGCCGTGGGACTCTTCCACACAGACCTGAATGTAGGCGTGGTCAGCTGGGATTCCCAGCATGTCGCCTTTCTTCAGCAGAACAGCCCAGCCATGATCGTTGCACTCATCCAGCCAGTTCTGGCTCTCGTTTTCGCTCACGGTCTGGCAGAAGCTGCCGAAGCTCTTGAGGCCGTCATCTGGCACAGGCCTGCCGATGAAAAGGCACGCCCCTTCCAAGATCACCTTGAACTCCGTCAGGCCGTAGTCGGTGGAGTAGAAGATCTTGTGGGTCTTCTTGCCGAAGGACCAAAAGCAGGGTATGAAGATCTCGCCGAGGAGGGGATCCACGTCCGTGCTCACGGAGATCAATTCATCTTCTGCTTTTTTTTCCCAGCACGTGGGCTTAACCCTTGAGGATCTTCGTCGCAATGTTGCTCTTGGCCACAAGGGCCAAGGACACCTGGGCCTTGGCCTTGTCCTTGCTCCAGCTCTCATAGACCCACTCTTTCTGCTGAGCGAAGTAGGTCAGCCCGCAGATGTCATCGACGAAGGCTTTTGTCTGTGCTGCGGTGATAAGCAGGCACTGCGACCCCTTGCCCTGGCACAGCCAGTCGAGGGCATTGAAGCATTCATTGGCCAAATTGAAATTCTCGGACACCTCCTGCCCGGCATTCAAGGCCCCGGCATAGCTGCTGAGGATCTCTTCGCCCATCTTCGTACCAGTTCCCGCAGGAGGGCCGCTCACCTTCGCTTTCTTGTTCTCGTCCTTGCTGCTGTCCTTCTTTGTCTTCTTCGAGTTCCCGACCTTTTTCTTGAACTGGTTCACCCAGCTCCGGAAGCCGCCCAAGAACTTCTTCAGATCGGCGGCGGGTTGGCAGGTCGAGACCTCCTTCACAGCCTTGGACACCCGAATGTAGAGTGCATTCCAATGCCGAGCCAGTTCCTCCAGGTCCGTCGGGCCATCCGCCTCCCCATCCTCCTTGATTTTCCTTAGAATCATCACATACCCGCTGTTCAGGGTTTAGGCTTTAAGGTTTCTTTTAGGGTTTAGGGTTTAGGGTTTAGGGTGTCTTAGTTTCAAGGAACACAGGAGTGAAGCCTCCAGCAATAACCAAAGTTTCAATGGAACTCAAAAGGCTGTGCATCGCTGTTGCTCCTGCAGCTGAATTCCTATCACGCAAAATCAACACACAAGTCATGAGCATCGGAAAGTCAGGCTGTTCATGTCTACGCGTGTATATACATATGCATGTAAATTATATGCGACGGCATGAACAATAAGGCCTCCCTTGTGAGATCATGCTTGCGACTTGCACAGATTCCCGTGAACGTTCACTGACTTCCGCCCCCCAGCAGACACGTTAGCTCAATGTCCTGCTGTCATTCGCCCCGGGCAGAGCGAGTTGGCTTTAAGGGGCTGCTCCAGCACGGCAAGACATGATCGGCCCCAGACACGGCCAGAGTCTGTGCGGGGTGGCATTTAAAGAGCCCGTGCCATGCCTCCGCTAGGTAAGGCCAACATATTGACGAAAATCGGAACAAGCAGAGCTATGGTATGCACAAGGCATGTATGAATGTATGCATGTGTGTATGTATCTGTCTACATCTGTGTCTCTGGTGTGTGGTGTGCAAAGAGGCTTGAACACAACACAAAAGGCAATGGTAGGATGGTGACGTGTTGATAAAGATGGTTCTGGTTGTTGGCAAAGGAGAACTCTGAACACGAAGTGACAAAATGCCGACTTCTTTCCGAGACAACTCCAGGATATCCCACTGGAACCTTCAGCAGTGTACTCCTCGAGTGCTTACTGGGTTTTCCGATGGGATCCGTGGAGGATTGCTTTAGGATTGAAGCCGGGACAACCCTCACTAGTCAACTCCCTCGGCTCACGATTGCAACACAAAAAGATCTGTAATGAGCCAAGTGTCTGAAGCTTCTCCATCACCTCCCGCTTCAGCTCGGAGACCAACCGCTCGAAGTCTTGGGTCTTGATCTGCAGCTCGGCTTTGCCGCCAGCATCGGATTCGATGCCGGCTTCTTTGATGTCCGCAACCATGCCGGTGTAGGAATTCCGATGCTTCCGCAACCACGACTCGATCGTGGTGTCCGCTTGAACCATCGACTGCTCGTACTGCAACTTTTCCAGTGTTGCACTGGAAACCTTCGGCTTCTCTTCCTGCGCCGCTTTTCGCCTCGCCTCGGCGATCTCGGCTTCTTCGAAGAGACGGGCCTCCAGCTCCCTGCGGGTTTGTGCCGCCTCCTCCATGTCAGCCACGACATTGAGGAGTTGGCTTTCCTGCCTTGTGTTGTTTGCACTGTTCACAAGACGGTCGGCCGAAAGGAGGTTCTGTCCTCGCTCGAGCCTGCCAGCAGAGATCTCATGGAATCTCTCCAGGTCTTCCCTTGAGGCGAGATCCATCCTCTGCTTCACGGAGGTGGACAGCTCGTGCTGCGACCCCAAGCGGTCTTCGCAGCCTGACCACTCCTTCAACAAGAGCTCGCCTCGCACAACCTTCGTGATTGCGCCGGGCTTCGAGATCTCTGCCTTCCACAACCTGGGCAGCTCTTCGGGCTTTGCTCCTGTCAGCAACGCCTCCCTCGCCGCCCAGTCCTTGAACCGGAACCACCGGTCCACGTCCTGTTGGGTTTCCATCCTCTTCCTCTCTTCCGTTAAAGCTCCTACCGCCGTTTCGAAGGTACGCTTGCGGCTTGTGCCGTTTTCGAGCCTTTGGGCTTTCTGTTTTCTGTACCAGGTAAACTTCTCCTCAGTGCTCATTTTGCTGAGCGAGCCACTTTTTCGGCGTTCACTCTTGCTTCTCGTTCCTTTTCCGTTTCCCCCCCTTCTTGTCCTTAGTTTTGCGGCACCTGTGGAGCCACCGGTCAGTGCCGGAACAATCCCCGCAGACACGCCTTAGGACGTTCCGTCCACTGGCGTGACTAGTCTCAAGTGTCACCGCATCGTCGCACTTTATGCATCGAAGTTCTGACTCCGTCATGCCTGCCACTCGAAATCTAAGGGGCCTGAGAAGTTTCAAGGGGACTCGGTCTCCAAGCCAAGGGGGATGGAGTGAGGAATCCAGGAAAGACCCTTGTTTCGAGGGGACTCGGTCTCCAAGCCAAGCTCTGAAGCTTCGCCAAAGAGTGAGGAATCCAGGAAAGACCCTTGTTTCGAGGGGACTCGGTCTCCAAGCCAAGCTCTGAAGCTTCGCAAAGGAGTGAGGAATCCAGGAAAGACTCTTGTTTCAAGGGCACGGACTCGGTTTCCAAGCCTTGGGCCAAAACAGCCGCGACCAACCAACATGTACTCGAGAATCGCACAAACGGTCTTCGCAAGAATCACCCATGAATATCATCCCCTCTAAGGCATCGCTGTCTGCAAGTTTTCGTGCTGTCCTGTTGCCTCTTAAGCCCTGAGTCTGTGGTGGATTTCCACAAACTAGCACTAGGTTCTGGCAATGCTAATTTCATGCCAATGCATCAGAATTTGAAAATACTTAATTTGCTCAGCTATATTCTCCGAAGCTTTTTTGAAAGCTTGAGTTCCAGAATATGCAACACGGCACAGGGTTGCTACCTCATTCGGCTGCAAGGGGGCTTGCTGGTTGCTGCTTTGCAGCTTTCCAGCATCCATTGCAGCCTGACACAAAGGCTGCATCATCATGGCCAAAGCCAATGTGTGAAACGCATTGCCCGTGGCTTTCACACAGTCGGAGGATCTGTAGAAATCATAATACAACTCACCGCTGTGCCCCTGCAACACAAGTCTCTCCTGACTGAGCGGTCAAGGGCCGGTGGAACCCCTGCTCCCGCCACTCCTGATCTAGGTCACCTGTGGACAACACGAACAGGCTACCACCTGCACTTCGCAAAGCCGGGCAAATGTCCCGATAATATCGAGAACCGTACAGGGTGCCAGGTGCTCTGTCTACTTCCAGGACCGCAAGCTCAAAGCAGTGGCCGTCAAGCAAATCTCGCTTGACGAATCCTTTGTACTGTTCCAGATTGTGCTGCTGCTTTGCAGACAGCAAACCGGGATCCGTGTTGCCAATGCCTTGCATCAACAAGGACCTCAAGGTGGGCTTGGGACAGCCTGCCAACTTCCACGGATCCCGCACGGGTTGCGGGATTATGTTCTCTTTGCAACAATCTCGGCGAAATCCACGCAACCACACCCTGGACCTGGAATGGGGGAACACAGCCTGGAGGTCCTGCTGGACATAATCCACAACAAACCACGGAATGGCCACCGACAAGTATTGCATGACATCCCTTAAGAAAGCAGTCTTGGCCAGCAATGATGAATTTTCCACGAGGAAAACAACAAGGAGCCTTTGTGTGCATAATGCACGATCATGCTGATCACCTGCAAATAAACCAAACTCCTGTCGTCGTATTCACCCCCTCGCTTGCCACTGGGACTCCAAGGCTGACATGGTGGTCCTGCCACCAGCACCTCGACGTCACTCTCAAGACCATTGCAATTTATGAAGTTGATGTCACCAGCTTTGTCCAGATGCATGGACTGGGCACGTGTTCCCAAATGCTTCCTCCAAAAGGCACCTAAAGCTGCATCAAACTCGTAGCAATCCTCGGGGGACCAAACTAATCCGACGCTGTCACATATGGCTTTCCAGGCACTTATTCCAGCACAAGGCTCGCAAACAACCAGCCTCCTGTTCAGTCCAACCAGAGGCCCGACCAAGCCGTGCAAGGCCGAAGCCACAGCAGAGCTCATGGCCGGTGGACGTGGCCCAGCCCAACACTTGCTAGCTCCGGTCTTGAGCACAAACGACCCTGGAACATTTGAGCCATGTCGTCAATATACCCTGCTGACCACATCGTCTCGACCACTCGAGCAGCAAGCCCATATCATCACATATTCTCCCCAGAGGAAGCCAACAAAGCAAAAACCACACATGTCATAGACAGACTTCAGAGTCAGTCTCTAGCAACCCAACGATGCCATCATCACATATTCTCCCCAGAGGAAGCCAATATAGCAAAAACCAACTTCACAGCCAGCCTGTAGCAAGCCAGACAGGCCATGCTGGATGCCACCACGGCCTGCCTGGCTTGCTACAGGCTGGCCACTGGGCTTGACCAGCCCAAGCCACGGATTGAGTGGATGGCCAGGCAAGCAGTCGCCGGGTGGCATATCGTCATCGACTTCAGAGTCAGCCTGTTTGAAAGTTTAAACCCTTATACCAGTATACTTCTTACAACCACGGCGCGAGCTTGGAATCTTTTCTCACTCTGTGCTCCGATGTCGGGCTGAATGGGCATGAGGGAAAATTGAACTATCTGTTACGCCCTCATCACGTACACAGCTTTGTCGTGTAACGTGATCCTTGTGAAACTTTTCCTACTTCTACCACTGTTTTCGCATGCTCCTGTGAGCTTGATCTTCTCTTCTCGCACGCTTCTTTGAGCACTTGTTGAACATCTTTATCCTTTTCTTCCTTTGGTCTTCATCCTCAATCTTCAGATGTCCTATAGCAGATTTGCGAATTTCCACTCCGCACACGATTGGCATGGACTCACTCAGAATCTAAATGTGCACTCACTTTTTCTTCACGTCGCGTTTCGCGATGTAGGTCCATTCTTGCTCTTCGGCAATCTGGAAACTTTGGCTTGCCTTCTTGGCTTTTGGACTTCTTTCATCAGTCCTGCGTTGGCTTTTCAGCCTTCTGTCATTGACCTTTAAACAATCGTTGTGCTCGTAGTGCTTTGACGTATGCCGTGGGACTTTTACGCAGTCCTCGTGGCTTTTGCTGTGGCTTTACCCACGCTTCTCACAAGCTTCTTCCTAAGGCTTTCGTTGTGAAACATCTTTGCCTTGGGCGATTTCGCCCTCACGCTTGCTGCTGGGCGATTTCCGCCCTCACGGCCTTTTGCTTGCGTTTTAATCCGCAACCTTGATTTACTCCAGCTCCTTTTCTACACGCTGTCGCTTCTCAGCTCTTGCTTGATCGAACGGAGATTCGCTCTTCCGCTTCTTCTCCTTTTCAGCCTTTTCAGCTTTCTTCTCTTTATCCTTGTCCTTGCTCTTGGACTTGTCCGCTGGCTTTTTCTTCTTCGCTTCCTTGTCCTCTGCTTTCTTTTCAGCCTTTTCTTCATCACTTTTCTTAGGCTTCTTTGGTTCTGCTCCCCAACTGTCTTTCGGGGTATATCCTGGGCCATCTGTCTCTTGGATGTCTTTTAACTCCTTGTCGTACGTGTACTTGTTGCTTTCCAAGTAGCTCCTGACATCGTCCTTGTACTTGCAGATGTCCGGGGTATGTGTACCCCACCCCTTATACTTAAAGGTCCGGTAGTTGAGGTGTGAAATTTAGAAAGCAGAACTTACAAAAGATCTTGCCCTCGGTATTGCTGCTGTCCGGCCTTGTGCCTTCGTAATACATCTTGACAGCCTTCTCCATTTCCGGGCATTCCGGAGCTTTATGCTGGTCCGTCGCTTTGCAATAGAAACAGTGCATGTACTTGGTCTTCTTGAACGACTCTTCTCTTGGATCCTTAAGCCAAATCGGGTTCACCCTTTTTCTTGGTGGCGTGCCTTCTGGCTCGCTTGGCTTCTCCTTGCTGTGATCCAACTTTGCCTTCGCTGCCTTTTCTATCGATTCATCAGTTGCTTCCTTGAGCGATGATCTCAGCTTGCTCTTCAAAGCTATCTGCTTCTCCAAAGTATTCGCTGCCTTTCTTTCTTCATCTGTAATCTTGAGGAACTGAGGTACCTTCTTTGGCATTGGCTTCGCCTTTGCTGCTGGCGTTGCTGGGCTGCTTGCCTCGCTTTTTCTCTTGATCGTCGCCATAAGCTTTGCTAAGGCTTGTCGCTCCTTTTCTTGATCTGGCTCTGGCCTTGTGTACAGATCTAGGCTTTTGAACTCTTCGCTTAGAGCTGACAGTAGCTTGTCTGCCGTCTGCACCACTTCGCCTAACTTCTGTAAAGCACTTCTCACATTGCTTGTCTTCTCAACATCTCCTCTTGCTGCGACTGCTTCCTCCTCGAGCTCTCGCACTTTCTTCATCTTTGCTTCGAGCTTTTCTTTCATCTCCTTCTTGAGTTCTTGCTCGCATTGATCCATCTCTTCCCTGGCTTGCTTGTAAGCTTCTTCAGCCTTCCTCTCGTCTTCTGTCAACGTGGACATACTCTCCATATATTCTTGCATGTCGTCTTCCACTTTTGCTAAAAACTCTGCGGTCCTTAAGCCGTACCCAGATGGGAGTCTTGAGACAGGGCGTCTCATCTGCTCTTGCCATGTCAAGAATTCCTTTTCTAGGTTCGTTGTTGGCATGGCCCGTCGAATGCTTTCGACGTTCAGCTTTCCCATAACTGTTTGGAATATAGACATTGTGTCTATGTTGAAACCACTTCTGAGGGCTTCCATTGCCTCGCGGGCTTCCTCGTCAGAGGATTGAACTACCGCTTCCTCGGCATCTTTCTTTTCCTCCTTCTCTTTTGGCTTCTCTTCTTCCTGCTTCTCTTCTTCTTGCTCTTCTTCTTCTTCTTGCTTCTCTTCTTCTTGCTTTCCTTCTTCTTGCTTCTCTTCTTCTTTTGGCTTCTCTTCTTCTCTTGGCTTCTCTTCTTCTCCAGGCTTCTCTTCTTCTGCCTTGTCCGCAACTCTATCCGCTTCTGCTTTTACTTCTGCTCTTCTTTCCTTGGCTGCTGCTTTCATCTCTTCAAGCTGCTGTAGCTTTTCATCCATGATCTCTCCTTGCTTTCTTATGCCTTCTTGGATGTCCTCAGGTATGCGAACCGTTCTTTGCTCCAACGCTGCGAAGTTAGCCTCTTTCGACTTCTTCAATCTCTCCGCTTCTTCTGCCAATTCTTCAGCAGTTTTCTTGAACGTCTCCAAATCTTCTTCCTTCTTTTCTTCCTGTGCTTCTTCTTCGTCGTCCTTTTCTGCTGACTCGCTTTCCTTGGACTCATCGGACTCTGGATCCGACGCTGCTTCACTTTCATCCTTTTTCTCTGGCTGCTCTTCCTTTTTCTTGTCAGTCACCTTGACTTCATACTGCTGGTTGAGAGCTTCTACCTCCTTCCAGAGGTCATCAGCACTTGGTCTTTGTGACCTATCTTTCTTGAGCACTTTTTCGAGGTAAGTGGTTGCCTCGATGCTTCTGCTGCACTCCGTAATCATGTACTTGACTGCATCATCGTCTGCCATTGCTCTTGTCCTATCTTCTTCTTTTTCTTCTTCCTTCAGGACTTCTTTCTTGAGCAAAACGGCTGCGCTTGCAACTTTATGCATAATCGCTGCTGTAAACATGCACAACAGTATGCAAACTACACTTGCTCTTCCCAGTCCTTGTTCGCCTTCTTCACCGAATCTTCTTGCTTCAGTCAACGATAACAACACTGCGGTCGTGACCGTCTGGATAATCCTTGTAATCATCCTTTCATCAAATCTTGTAACACTTCTTGTTCTTGTTCTTCTCACTTCAGCTTCTTGGACTTCTTGAGCACTTGGTGTCAAAAATTCACCTGTGTATGCTAGGCTTAGCATATACTTGTGTATCTTCTCTCGTGTCAGGGATTTGGTCCCTAGGTCTGAGGGATTGTCCTTACCGGCTATCGCCTTTATGATAAGCTTCGGGATTCAATCAGGTCCACTTGTAAATGGCGTGCTCTTCCTAAGCCTTTTCTTGAGATCAACTGTCTTGAGCTTGACGAATCACTGTATAACATCAGTCTTGGCTCAACTCCTAGGATTCTTGTCAGCAATCCTTTCAGGAATACACCTTCGCTTAAGATTGATGTCGCTGCGATTGTCTCGGCTTCGCAAGATGACAATGCTACGCTCTTTTGCCTCTTGCTTTGGAAATGAACCAGGTTTCCATTCACCATGATCACTCCACATGAAACACTTTGCCTTGACTCTCGATCTGCTGCCCAATCACTGTCGCTTATCACTTCTATGAGCGCTGGCATCTTGTAGTTGTCTCTCTCGAAACTTCCTTCGTTGCTTCTGTTCTTCGCTTCCAGAAAACTCTTTCCAGGATAGCTTTCCTTGTGTACCAGCGTAAGTTCAGGCGATCCTTTGAGATACTTTCCAACATACCTTAGCAGCTCCATGTCTGCTTCAACAGGTGATGCGAGCTTTGTTGACAGCTTCTTCAAGACATACATGATATCTGGCCTCTCGGGCGCGAGAAACAGTAGGATCCCTACTCCTTTTCTGAACGTGTGGTGATCTTCTGTACTCAGCGGTTCCATTCCACCTTCTTTTGTCTGAAATGATCTTCCATTGTCCGCTGGACACGGTAGCTTCTTTGGATATGCTCCTTCCAGTTTGAGCACTTCTACCAGTCCTTCGATGTACTTTGAGTTCATCGTGATATCTACGTTTCCATCGCCCATCGACTTGAAACTTCTCTTCAGGAAACTCATTGATCCTTCTTCCTCATCCAGTGGTCCTTCCACTTTGATCTTCAATCCTTTGCTTCTCAGGAATTCGACCAACTTCTTGAATTCTTCTTTTGATGCGTACAACTCCATGTCATCTACATGACTCAGCACGATTATTCCGAATCCTTCTTTGTCTGGTGTTCTTGAGAATAGTGCCGGGAGTCCACTATCACTTGTTAAACCGTACTCCTCCAGGTAACTTTTCAACTTTCCGAACCAAGCTGCACTCCCGATTCGCTGACCGGGCAACGTGAATCCCAGTTCATAGTATTCTCCATCGACTTCAACCACTGTTGGTTCTTCTTGCTCCACCATCAGGTAAGCATCTC